ATACATATTTTGTTTAGAATACAAGTTAAAATGGCAGACAAGATTTGAATTTCAAAAAGCAGTGGCTGGAACCAAAACCCATTGTACAGAATTGTGATTGATCCCATATGATTCACTTTTATCTGTAAATTACTTTCATTCTAATTTGTGCTGAGTGCTGTGTCCAGTTTGGCTTATCCATAGCTGCAGTTCCAAATGAAGGCTTTTTTTCATATTCTGCTTCAACTTGCTGATTACTTTGGAGGCTTGTTTACATGCACAATTTTCTTTTTTCCTGTTGTTAATTGTAGTGTGTGTAATTGTTCATTTATTGATCATATTTTGTTCATAACCTATTGTTTGTTTAAAAGAACAGAGTTGGTAGTTTTGTCATTTCAAAAATGATCTTCAGTTCAGGCTTAACCCTGTGATTAAAAACAAGTCAGCTCACATCAGCAGTTTTGAAAAGCTCCTTTCTCTTGTTATTGCCTATCTTCACTGCAGTGGGTGGTACATTTGCCTATCTCTTTTCCTCCTCTAAGTGCCTACACAGATGCACACACATAAGAGCTCTTTTGTATCTCCATATAAAAAGCTCAAATTATGCCCAACTCCATTACTGCAGTGGCAGAAAAATACATTTGGTATCTATGTATTCATGTCCTATAGACAGAATGTGTTGTGACTATTTTCGCTTCACAAGGCATGACCCAATTTGGGGGCTTATACCAGTAAAAATTGTATTAATAGGATAATGCAATAACAGTTTGGTGATTCAATGACCAATAATAATTGAGAGCTGAATAAAACTGAGTCAGCATGAGTTGATTTTTGGGGGATTTGCTAAATTATATATTTTTGGAAAGGTTATAGTATATGGAGTCAGAAAATCAATGTTTGCATTTGCCCAGATGTCTGTATGGCTGCCATATTGAAGTTTTAAAAATGGCCGCTGTAAATGTAAAAATTACAGTATCTCGACTTCTGAATAAACTGAAATGTTGATTTTTACTATTAAATCCCCATTGTAAGGGTCAAGGAATCCAATAGTGCTAGTTACACAACATTACCATATTAATCCTTCAGTACATGATTAGATAATAATAACCCAGTGTGGTTGTTCTCTTGAAATATGTTTGTAATGAAAAAAAAATTAGATTTTTTTTTTATACCACTCATTAAAACATTTAATATTTAGTGTGTGAATGATTTCAAAGACACACATTGCAGGCTTTCTAGAATGGGTGGTGAGAGTGATCTACACATAAAGTAGTTCTTGTTGAAAGATTTTATTTACAGTGATGTTTTGAGCCAATAGCTCTTCCTCAGACTTGCTATATCAGAAAAGTGTGATCCCTTAAGAGCATTTACAGAGTATCTAACACATGCACAGTATGTATTATCTTTATTTTAACTCAGAAGATATGTAATATATTTAAAGAACATATTTAAACATAAACGACTACAGCTAACCAGCTAATATTTCTCACCTTCCACGGTGGTTGGTCTCTCTCACTCTTATCCAGCTCGGCTCGGGTCCTCTACCAGAAGCCTGGGAGCCTTAGAGTTCTGCGCAGTATCTTTGCTGTTCCCAGTACTGCACTTTCCTGGACTGAGAGGTCCGTTGTTTTTCCCAGTATCTGCTGTAGCCACTCTTCCAGTTTCCAGTGCTCCAATCACTACGGGCACCACTGATGCCTTCACCTTCCAGGTTTTCTCCAGCTCCTCCTTAAGCCCCTGGTATTTTTCTACTTTTGTGTGTTCCTTTTTCCTGATATTACCATCCCTTGGTATTGCGATGTCCACCACCATGGCTCTGCTCTGTTGCTTATCCTCCACCACCTGCCTCTAAGGACTTGTTTCACTCATTGCAGGTATTTGGCCGTAGCCGCTTTGCTTGTTGCCTCTTCAAGGTTACCATTTGCTTGTGGAATACCAAGGTACTTGTAACTGGCCTCAACATCTACTATTGTTTCCTCTGGGTGTGAGACCCCCTCTGTGTGGACTGGATCATCTTGGTGAACAGTAGCTAATGTTTATTAAACAAATATATGAAGTAAGTGCATGTGCGATTTGCTTCATTTAGTTTTCTTTAAATAAATGATGTCATGATAGTCAGCAATTGGTCCTAGTGAAAGCCCAGGGTCCAGGTCCACCACAGCTAAGTAGTCTACAAAGGTGACTGCAGAACTGCACAACAGAAACTCAAGATTTAGCATGTACCGACATGTGTCAGTGTAGCAGACAGTGCCAGAATGATGATGATTCCCAAGCTGTGTTGTATGCATAGACTGTATAAAAGAAGTGGACTAAGCGAGTGTGACACACAGAGTTCAGCGTCGCTCAAATGAGGCTCATGATGCTCACGGTTACAGGAGCGAATTTGGAGCTAGACTCTATATTACAAATAGGAGTTTTTTGACGGACAATACGGGTTAATACAAACATTTTAAGACGAAAATGGTGAGGCTCACTGCAGCAGTTATAGAGAAAGGAGCCACAAGATCCTAATGTAAGTCCATTGGAGCCAGAGTCAGAAGGAGACAGAAGAGCCTCCTGGAGAACTTCCTATTTGGCACGTGGCAGCTACAGCGTTAGCTCTGTCTACTCATACATATGGTCTATGGCTGTATGAAAGTGAGGATGATAATGATGATGTATAGAAAATGTCTAATTAAAAATGTTGCATAATCATATTGTGACATTCAACATACACATTTTATATTAGCTACTTTTAAACTCTTTGAGTTATCTGACCAATTGCATGTGATGTTTATAGTTTGTTTTACACATATTGCTGATGCATTTGAACAGGATAATTAAAAATACATGTTTTTTGGAGGAATATGGAGTATTACATGCAAATATTACAATGAAATTACAAGAAAACAACCAAACCGGGTCATTTTTGACCCACTTATGTATCTAAGGGTTAATGTGGTTAAGTCTTTAGGTTATAGCTTTGTAACTAGCACCATTTGATTCCCTGACCCTGAAAATGTGGGTTTAGCAATTAAAATCAACATTTCAAATTATTCAGAGGCTGAGATATTTCAAAAAGAGTTTTTAGGCTTCCATTTTTTTACAAATTCAATATGGCCGCTATATAGACATCTGGGCAAATGCAAACATTGATTTTCTGACTCTATACACAATAATCTTTACAAAAATATATAGTTTAGCAAATCCCCCAAAAACTCCCACAAAAGTATATAGTGAACTGGACTATCAGTTATGTATGGAAAACACACCGCATTGGTCCCCTTATCTTTAAAACAAAACCAACCTCTTCTTCTCTTTTCTAATTTTGACAAGGTTTAAAGGTTTGTTCATTGATTCTGCAGGAGTATTTTTCATGTGTCTGTGTTCAAAATCAAAACCTGGGATACCCCCGGTTTGGAGTAGGTGGTAATAATAAAATTGTGAAACAAGTACGTATTTAAGGAGAAGTGGCAAAAAGAGAAATTCAAATTGTCACCTGGACAAAAGTTTATTTAGTCAAATATGTTTCACAGTTCATCAGCCCATTCATGACTAATGTGTCAGTATAGTCACATTTCCTTTGTGTTTTGGTCAAGTTTAAGCAGCTTTTCTGTATTTTATGTAAACAAATGACAATGTATTTGTTGACAGATATCAAATTGGTCAAAAATAGGGACACCTGGGACATTTCTTGTATCATACTGGGACAAATGAATAGTTTTGGATAAATCCACTGGGACAGGGGACACAGGGCTCAAAACGGGGACTGTCCCAGGTAAATAGGGACGTCTGGTCACTCTGATCCTGAGGCAAAACACTTCACCCACCTTGCCTAATATGAAAGTGGTGTGTGCGTGAGTGATAGGTGAAGATTGGGAGCTGTGGCTTATAGATTTCCTCCACTGAGTATGGAATGAATAAATAATGACTACTTTTTCATAGAAGACAAATATGCTTAGTTTAACTAGTAATATAAACTTTCTAGCGTTAAAAAAGGCTACTAGACATGCGATCTGGAGTCTATTTTTTTGAGTGGGCGGGAATAGAGAGGTAGGTGAAACCAGGTATTTTCTGGGCTCCCAATGCAGGACAATACAGAATTTGGCTATTCAAAGATAAACTTGTGTTTAAATTTCCCAAAACTTAGTTAAATATATGGGCCTACAAGACTGAAAAAAGAAATGCAAGGACATTTAAAAAAAAATAAATAAAGTTAATATAGCCTAGTTTTAAACGTACACTAGCGTGTTGTAAAGGACAGCAAGTTTTCTTCCTTTTTTAAAATTCTAAACAAGTTCTAGATACAGCTATAGCTAGTCATTTTATAGTTGCTTACTTTTTTAAGTATCCTACATAAGTACGCTATTTTGGGATAACCTATTCCTCCTCTGATGACATTTGCATTATACTGACAGACAGCCCATTCTATTCAAACTGAAAGTCAAAATGAGCATCCGTCAAAAACAGTTTAGGCGTCTCCAATTTGATGGAGTTTGCGTTCGGATGAAATTAGCTCCAAATCCGTGAGCGGCGCAGCAGATAGACACCATGGAGAGAGAAGCCGCGCCCACTCCCTCACTCCCACTCTGCGCCCTCGTGCTAAATGCACGCGGCCACTCCGCGCGCCTCGCGCTTCAGGAGAAACATGAGAGGAGCACGGCGCGTGGACCTGCACCAGCCATGTGTGGGACTTATTTAAGATACTGGCAATTGAGCGCAACAAAGCAAAAGGTATTTTTTTTATTTTATTTTTTTTATTTAAGATGTCATGGGCATACGTGCATATTTTATTAGGTTTGCTTTATTCTATTGACTAAAGTAAAAATGAATGCTAATTATTCTTATTTTATGACTTAGCCAATCTTATGACTTTTATTGGTGGTGATGCTCACAGCCTGGGGTCACGTAGCTAATTAGACGTGATATGGTTCTAGTGAAACGGACTCTTGCTTTGCGCAGCACACTGCTCCATCTGTGTCCGATTACTCACAAGTCATTAGTTGCTCCTATTGAAGCCCATATGTGTCTTTACAGTGGCATCTTGCATAAGACTTAAGTGTATGCTTCCTCCCTCTGGTGCTTGCAGCCTTTATGAGGAATATGACTGACTGACTCGGTGGCAAGGGTCAGAAAATGGACACTTCGTCCTCCTGTGAACCTCCCATTGCCACCTATCAACAGAGCCCGGTCTGTGCCCTCAATGCCAGCTGCGACTGGTCATCTACCTGCAACAGGACCACAGTGGACAGTGGACTGCAGCTGCCTACCTTTACCACAGCAGCCAAAGTCCGAGTGATAATAACGTTCATCCTATGTGGCATATCCACTTTCTGTAATTTGGGTGCATTATGGGTAGCCAACAGCCACAAGCGCAAGTCACACGTCCGAGTGCTCATCATTAACCTGACCGCGGCTGATCTCCTGGTCACGTTCATAGTGATGCCAGTGGATGCTGTGTGGAACATTACCGTGCAGTGGCTGGCTGGAGATCTGGCCTGCAGAGTTCTCATGTTCCTGAAGCTACAGGCCATGTACTCCTGTGCCTTTGTCACCGTGGTGATTAGTCTGGACAGACAGTCGGCCATCCTTAACCCTTTGGCTATCAGCATGGCCCGCAAAAGGAATAGGCTCATGCTTGTGGTAGCATGGACCCTGAGCACCTTATTCTCTGTCCCTCAGGTAAGCTGCCACAACTGATACAACAGTAAAGAGTTCAAAGCATTTATTTATATACATGTTATTTAGCTTCGTATTCTTGTTATGGCATATACAGTGCCACTATTATCCATATTATAATTTAAAGGAAAAGCCTGTGCATTTGAACCTGCATACATAATGTTTATATACATTTCAAAGTAAGCTCTCTATATTTATAACCTATTTGAGTATTTGCATAGAATAAATTATCACAAATACAACAAAAGTATACTGAGATAATCTGTGCCTTTGTAAGGGCCCTGCGCCTCACTGTTAAGGATTAATCCCTTCATCATGGACTGTATTGATTAATCCTGTAGATAAGAATGATGTTTTATTGTAAATGTATATGCAGATCTGTAGCTGTGTTCAACTGTCTAACACTGAATGTGTCAGAGTACATTGAATTTCGGTCAACCAAATTACACATTAAATGTCTATTTCAAACAACACATTTGTTTCCATAGAAAGTAGGACTATCAGTTTTCAGCAATGTAATATTGTCATATTATTATTATTGTTATTAAACAGCATTGTTCTTCACAGATTTTTATTTTCCACAATGTGACAATCACCTCCCCTGCAGAGTTCACCCAGTGCACCACCAGGGGCAGTTTTCTAACTCATTGGCAAGAAACGGCATACAACATGTTTACCTTCTGCTGCCTCTTCCTGCTGCCTCTCATCATAATGATCACCGTCTACACCCGGATATTCTTCCAGATTTCTAAAAGGATGAAAGGAAAGAGCTGTACGTGACATTATGTCATTAAACACATTATTTGCTATGTAAAAGTAAAATGTGCTTGTAAATAATACTTTAACCAGTGCATCCGATAAGATGGTGTACATTTGTGCGTTACAAATTCAGCAGTGACAGTTGATGTTATCCAATCTCTCTGTTTCTTCTTCTTACCTAGTGTCAGCTAGTGAGCCCGATTGGCGCTGCACACAGAACAACATCCCCAAAGCTCGAATGAGAACTCTGAAGATGAGTCTAGTAATCGTCTTGTGCTTCATAGTGTGCTGGACTCCATACTACCTCCTGGGGCTGTGGTACTGGTTCTTTCCTGATGACTTAGAGGGGAAAGTGTCTCACTCTCTCACTCACATCTTGTTCATCTTTGGCCTCTTCAATACCTGCATGGACCCTATCATCTATGGCCTGTTCACTGTGCGCTTTAAGGGACTGAGAAAGCATGGCCACACAGCCACGGTGAGGTCAGACACAGACAACACCACAAAAACAGAGTCTTTCAGGTTCTAAGTCTACTTGACATGGACTATTTTCTGATCATGAAAAAAAAGACAACCCATCTTGGCCTCATCGCGATCTTGTTTCATTCCACCTTTAGTAGTTAGTACAACAGTTATTTCTTTGTCTTGTTTTAGTGTTTTTCTATTTCAGCACTGGTTGATGCTTTTTTATAAAGCACTGAACATAAATGTTAAGCTAAACAGATTTTGATTATATATTACACAAATTATCTCATAGAATACAGTGATGAAACCAAGACCATGAAAGCACTTTGCTTAAAACATCAATGCCTGATTTGATTGATTACCCATCATACTATAAATTGAGTTGTACGCTGCAGCATCTTCAGCATTTTTACTCCTGTGTGTCAGTAAAGTTCTGACAGGGCATGGCACATTATGACAATGTAAAAAGAATGTTTTGAGTCACAATAAGAGTATTGTGCAAAATATATCATTCTAGGCAAACTGTATTTTGTCTTTCACTGTGTGTATGTGGCCTTCATGTAATGCAAACTGTTACCTTGGAAATAAATCTATTACAATGTTGCTGTACTTGAAAAACTAAAGCAAATATCTAAATTAATCAATTTTCAACATGCAGAACTCCTTCCATACAACATACATGTCAATCATAGTGCTTGTGAAATACGTGGAATTAGTTTGAAGTGCAGATATATGTCAAAGTGAAACATTAGCGGTGTTTATTTTTCATGTTCTAGTTTGTTGTGGCAGCTTCTTCACAGTGAGCGTCTCTGTGCATTTAGAGAGTCTGTTGTTCACTGTAGCACATGGTGAGTACACTGGATGCAACCAAGTCAAATCAAGCGTGTACAAAGTTGTTTGAAAGACAAGAGCCACAAGCAATGACAAGCAATGTGTGTTATTCCTTCTAAGTACTAGATAAGCTGCCAGAAAAATACACACATCTGATCATGCATTCATTGTTTTACTAATATTAGGTTCATAAAAGAAACTGTTAAATGATATGTGAACATTCTAAACATTAAATGTATCACTTTTTTTACTTGTACTGATCAATCTCAATTTTCATAAAATTTTTTAATTTTGTTAATAAAAATGTATATATGGCGCTCATTAATTTCATGAATGTTAACAGGACATTGTGAAAAAATCATTATTTTTCTTTCAAACAATCAAACAATTTCTGAATATACTAAATCCTAACCGAAATGTAACATTACAATACTATGTATAAAAAAGGAATCAACATGCAACAAAGCTAGTTTAAAGTGGCGCTGGTGATGTTCTCCACACTTCACATGGAATATTTTAAGACAACAAATGGAGGCAGCCTCATATCTCTAGTTTGTTCCTTGATTAACGTGTTTTTTGTTTTTTGGTTTGTTTGTTTTTTATGTCAAACTGGTGTGTCAAAAGTGTAGTGCATTTTTTGTAAGAGTATCATTGGCATTAAACTAGTGTTACTCTATGTTCTGTTCTATGTTTAGAATGAACACTTCTATGTCTACAAAAACTTTAAATCTTCAATAAGATGTAGAAGTGAACCTTCTCCTACATCACATCCCTGTGCATAATACGGTTTGTCTCAAACGTCCCTGATAAAGTGCAGAGATAGCTTTTAACTCAGAACATTAACACTCATTACTAATTGCTTTTGTATTAAAGGTGTTTAACAGTTTCTGAGAAAGTGAAAGATAAAGAAGTTAAAATTGCATTCTCCTGTAATGAAGATATCCTCTGGATCTACAGATGATACATGTGCATGGGAGGTTTGGAGCTCACATAAAGATGTTAGTATGTTCTATTTACCTAGAAATACCTGTTTTCATTGTCTAAATAGGTGTTTGATCCTTGACCATGTAAATACTGCACTGCTCAAAAAAATTAAAGGAACACTTTGAAAACACATCAGATCTCAAAGTGAAAAAATATATATATGTTTGATATCTATACAAATATGGACAGGGCAATGTCTTCGGAACACAAGAATGCCGTTTCTTTTAATGGAAATACAATTTTCAGCCTACAAATGGCTTCATTTTATAGACACCCAGAAAATCTATGTTAAATAATAATGTGGCAGGCTAGTCCATTTTGCCAAAAATATTTCTGCAACTCAAAATGTTTCTCATTATCTTGTGAGGCCCCCATGTGTTTTTATGTATGTTTGACAATGTCACTGCATGCTCCTAATGAGATGATGGATAGTGTCCTGTGGGATGTCACTCCAGACAGTCGTATGTCACTCTACAGGGGCACCACTGAGCTCCTGTACAGTCTGAGGAGACATAATGTTCCAGAGGTGTTCTATCAGGTTTAAGTCAGGTCTTGAGGGCCACTCAGTTGTATCAATCCATTCATCCTCCAGGTACTGCCTGCAGACTCTTGCCACATGAGACCAGGCATTGTGGTGCCTCAGGAGGAACACAAGACCTACTGCACCAGTGTAGGCTCTGACAATAGGATTTCATCCCGATACCTAATGGCAGTCAGGCTACCGTTTTCCAGCCGGTAGAGGTCTGCGCATCCCTTCGTGGATATGCCTCCCCAGACCATCACTGACCCATGAGACGTGACACAACTGACTCTTTGTTCAACACCAACTGCTCACTCACACACCACATTTATAGATATAACTTGGCAAAGTGTCTTACCCAAGGACTAGATCGTGGGGTGGTGAGTGAACGACCAACCTCTAGTCAGTATTAGTGTAAATGCAAAAATGGCACCTAAACAAGCCAGAAGCAGACAAAATAGTATAATGATCAAATAAACAAATATTCACATCATTTTTTTTCCCATTTGGCTGTCAGTAGATTCCGCATCACCACACTAAAATGTAATCTACAACAATAGTAAAAAGAAATGATGTCTGATCCTTTAATAAAGGTTGGTATCATATTAAAATGCTTGTTATTTTACTAAATCAAGTAAAGGTCTCAACATTGTTCCCTGTAGTCCTTTTGTTCCCTAGAGTCCTTTGAATATGTTTAGATTGCATATCATAGATTATATCTTGATATGCTGTGTTCAGTTTTACCCTGAGTGTTGCTTTCACTGTACATTAGATAACTCAGGGGTAGTGGGGGTATCTCATTTCCTCCCCCAGATACTCAGGGATTTACATGTGTATAACTTCTATTATCTGCAAGTAAGTTAGATGCACAGAAACAAAAATAGCTTCCAATATTATGACTCCAGTGAGGGAGACATACATTTACATGGAAAATCAGATAACTAAAATAATGAGATAACCCATTTAATTCAATTTGATTTTTGGTGTGAATTTACATCTGCAAAAGAAATGTGATGATCAACATGTGTGACAGTTATTGTGAGATAAATGTATTTTGGAATACATAGAATTTTTGAATAACTATTATTATCATTAACATTCTTGCATTAATTTCTCTTAACTGCATTAGTTTGCAACATTTTGCATGCTTTGCATGTTTCCCTGTCAAAACCATTCACATTTGTGAACATTAGAAAGAAATCAGATTACTGACACGGGATGTTAGGATACTGTTTACATGACATTTCAATAATCAGATTACTCCAGAAATCAGATAATGATCAGATTTTGGTGTGCATGTAACCATAGCCACTGAACAACCAACCCTGTTGGCGTTGTATCCATATTATGCTAAAACCTTTGCTGCCATCTAGTGTTGTAGTAGTGGACAATCAGTTTAGTATTGAGGCCCATTCTCCCATGATTATTTGCAGTTGCACAGCTGCAGGTGTCAAAAATAATGTGAGTAATATTGTGGTATTCCATTATCATAGGCTAAGTAATATTTTTACTACTTATACATTTAAGTCAGAATAAATAAAAATACCGTCTGTAGTTTGTTTACAGTTTCTTGTTGGCCATTTCTATTAGGCCTAACTGTTGGCAGGCATTAGGATTGAGACATCTTCAAATAATGCCCTCATTTGGCTTGCAGCGCATCAGCAGCACCATGGGCCCTAAATCACCTCCTCTCAACGACTCCTCCATCTTTCCGCTGAGTCCACACTTTGTCTGATAGATAGTGCTGCTTCAGATATTTTGAATAGGTCCTTCTGATCTGGTCTATAAGCGAACATCAGGCTACTCACAGAAGTTACTATAACTGTAATTACCCTAGAGGTTACTTATACTCACTCACCTAGCCTGAAGTCTTTTTGATGACGACGTTCAGGGCCCAATATGAAAAATAAAGGAACCTACCCAATTTACTCTAGTCATAAACTTGCAACACGGAGTCTTGTCGACTTGAGTTTCAGCACCAGCCAGACCTATTTAAGATAGTTTTTAGAATATAGTTTTGGTTTGAAGCCTACTACAAATGTGCTAAATGGGGCGCTAAATCTGTTCATACACGAGACCTGACCGCCTGCCCTGGCTCAGATCAGCTGATGCGCGCGGTCTGTGGATGGCGGCTAGTGCAGCAAGGGGAGCGCGCGTCAGAGCAGGAGGAGGAGTCTCATCTGGTCTTTTGGAAGACGCAGAATGCGGCTCGGTACCGGCCAAAATACCCGGTCATAACAAGAGATGCTACTCCGGATGTCATGCTAGGACAATGATGGAGGCAATGTGTGCCTTCTACGTTTGGCACGGGCGTGCTTTCGTGCTCTGTTATTCAAACATGATGTGGCTGTAAGGTGGCTGCTGCGCGTAGTGCTGACTGGACAGCAGTGTACCCTCAATAGCCTATCTAGCCGATACAGGCATCTCAGACTCTATTTTGCAGTGCGTCTCGTCATCGGAACCAGATGGTCTCCACCGAACTGGACCCGGTTCTTTTCCTGCTGTCCGAGCCGCCCGCAGCCTGAGCCACAGGATGCAGGTTAAAAACCAGATTTGCACCGAGCGGAGCAGCACGGACGCAGCACGGACGACCCAGAACAAGATGACAGCGACAAGAAGACCTCTTGTTTCTCCAACATCAAGATATTTTTGGTGTCGGAGTGTGCGCTCATGTTGGCACAAGGCACCGTCGGCGCCTATCTGGTGAGTTTATGTAAACGTTATACCCGGTCATCCAGCCGGCACATCCAAAGTCAACGTGCTTCTCCATCCGCACAGTTGATAGTGGCATTAGGCTAATGTAATTAATGGCCTGCCCAACAGTACCTCATTACGACATAACATGATCTTAATGATGGCCCATGTTCTGACTGATCCGAGACTTGATGCGTATTATCTATAATTGGGCCTATGCACCATTTGAACGACACAAAGCGTCTCGCGCCGTCTGTGATGGCTATTCTACCCTGTGGGATAATGTTGCGTGTAGATGGTGAGCAGGTTACGAAACACTGACCAGTAGGTCTCATCCATCCTGCTCCTCTGCTATGATCTAGGCCTATAGCCTGTAAGAGAGGGGCTTCAGCTGTGTAGAGGAGAGAGTAGGCCTAATCTCTGGTCGGTCATTAGTAGTAGGCCTGGTGATGTGGTGTGCACAAAGATCATCATTTGAATGTGTGTCTAATTTAGACGTGTTGAGTAGGCTGTGTATCACTATTAATACCCTTCCATTGACTCGCCTGGAATAAAAGACAAAAGGGTTAAATAAGGTCTTTCACCAGTTGAGGAGGCATGGGCTCATTTTTGACTGAGGGTTGTGTATTAAGCCTTTTTAATAAAATTTCATGTTATTTCAAAATGACTCCTCTGTAATATTGTTTATTAGGGATGGGACGAGACGCATTTTCCACAAGATGAGATGAGATACAAGATTGGATCCATGATAATGAGACAAGACGAGATTTTAACATAATTCCTAAAATATCAATTTAACAATTTAGTTTCCAACTTTGGCCTCAAAATTTGTTTTATTTTATAATTTTGTTTCAATCCCAGTTCTATTCCAGTTCCTTTTTGGAACTGTTAAAGAGATGCAACTCAACAACACGTAACCCTTTTTAGTCCAATCCAAATATAAACACTTCTCACAAGATAATTTTTCTCATGTATGCATGATCTTGTGACAGTTTTGTGTCATGAGATCTTGTACCATTCCTATTGTATACCATGCTAGAATTGAGTGAGTTCACTCACATGCACATTTAACTGTTGCAAGTTGGCATAAGGTTTAGCTTAGGGTTTCTATGGGGAAAAGGAAGATCACAGGTTTAGGGTTGAATAGTCTATGATGTGTTTTAGTTAAAATCACAACTTGAGATCTTGGGATTCATTCTGGAGCACGGTTTGTTATTCAGCATGTCCCTGTTCATTGAAACTTAAGTTGGGCTACTTAGTTGTGGCTATAGACTTCCAATAAAGCTACATTAGAGTCAAATCACTCATACACTTAGTGGCCTGCTAACTATTTTGCCTTTCTTTTTTTTTTCTTTCTCCACTAGGTGAGTGTGTTGACTACTTTGGAAAGACGGTTCAATCTGCAGAGTGCTGATGTTGGCGTCATTGCAAGCAGCTTTGAGATTGGCAACCTGGCCCTAATCTTGTTTGTTAGTTACTTTGGCGCCAAAGCTCACCGTCCCCGTCTCATTGGATGTGGTGGTATCGTGATGGCTCTCGGGGCTTTGCTGTCTGCCCTACCCGAGTTTCTGACTCATCAGTATGAGTATGAAGCCGGAGACTCCTGGCACGCGGAGGATGGCAGGGACGTGTGCTCCAACAGGACCAGGTCAGAGAACAGAGATTCTGGCTTCAACTGTGACAACCGAGCAAACACCAACATGATGTACCTGCTGCTTATCGGAGCTCAGGTCCTGCTGGGCATTGGAGCTACGCCTGTCCAGCCTCTGGGAGTGTCATACATTGATGACCATGTCCACAAAAAGGACTCCTCATTGTATATAGGTGAGTAACATTCTTGAACGCTAGCCTGGTGAGCCAGGCTTCCACTGTTTTTTGACAGTGCAGTCCAAACCTAGCATGTGGCTCACAAATACAGGCATTTCCTCTTAAATATAGCCTACATAAAATATTTAATTTGTTTTACCTCAGATGAAAGACATTAAGTGCTGTCAATTTGTTTTGACACTAATGGACCATTTGTTTCTCTACTGGTTAATTTGCCTGACATTCGTGTCCATCAGAACTCTGTTCCACACTTTGTGTTTAGGTTGGCTGGCCAGTCTAATGGAATGCACCACAAAAGCTAAGTATGTGTGATTGTAAATGATATGATCCAGTGCAAGAACTTCTTTACTGTTAAATGAAAAGCCAGTATAAGGGGGGTGGTGCATTGTCTTAAACTCGGTGGTCCTGTTCTACAAGTCCACATAACCTCATCACTAGCAGTATGCTAAGGTTGCTAGGCAACAGTATAGCAACACTGATACTACTTGCCTGTGTCTTTGAATGACCCTCCTATATGGATCCATTTGAAAACAAAAACAAAAAAAACACAAAACATGACAAAGAAAGAGGCATCAAAAAATATGATTTTAAGTACTTGTACTGAAGTATAGTGATTTCATGAACTAGTGTTTGCTAGCCTGTACATTTGATGTTGTGGATAAACCAAACTGTTCTGCTTGTATTCTTGAGGAGACCAAGGCCGGAGGTTTGTTCAGTGCATCCTTTGATGTACACAGCCTCTGCCAGTAGTAGAGTATAGAGGAGGAGGGCAAACAAGGCAAGCCCAACATGCAACAGTGATGGCGAAAGGCCAACTTCAGCCACATGTCTAATGTTAGATATCCATTGTGATTTAATGTCCTGATACAGATATGATTTTTACTTATCATGACCTTGTTCTGTACAGATCGATCAGATAGTATTTGTTAATTGTGAACCTTTCATGGACCTGGGCATGGATGATGTGTTAACATGTATACATGCACATTTTGCTTTCATTGGACTTATATGCTTGCAAGAGAGCTACATTAACAGTGTAGCTTTGACATTGACAGATTGGTGTTGTTTTTACCATCCACCCCCTCTCTTCATTCATTGCTTTTCTACAATCTAGGCATTGATTTCCATGGTTACTGTTAACAATGTGAGAGCCAGGATCATTTGTTGGGCACAATAATCACTTGCAAAAAATACAGTACAACATGTAGGCCTGTCAACCTATGCTTTTCTGATACTGTGATAAACTATCCATAATACGGTATAATTCATGACCAAATGAAAAAAGTTATGGTATAGTACTCCACTAGTATCAGTAGGTGATGGAGACTACAATACTGCCTTTTGGATTTGGAGCACACACCATGCATGTAAGAAGTAAGTAACTTTGTATGTGTTTGAGACAGTGTTTAAAGACCATTGTTGTCTAAAGGTTCAAGCCACATTGTAATTAGGTTATTGATTGCTGTCTACTCGATTGACACCCCAGGCAGAAGTACTGTCTGACGCATATATGGTATGCCTTAGCAGAAAAGACTGGGTTGGGTGTTTGGTCACTCTAGTTTTGAATAAGGATCTGCAGTAGAATCACTTAATCATAGTATTATCATAAATAACTATACATTTTAATGCATATTTGATTTTTATGGATTATTGTTTTTTTCCATTAGGTCTTTTATTTACTTATTTTTTCACTGTCCTTTTTACATACAAACACTTTTTGAAATCATCTCAATGAAATGATCCGTTTGACAGTAAATAGCAGCACAGCAGCGAGCAGAGTATTGGTTTGTAGTGTACACTTAGGGGCCTGAGGGCACGCTCTGCCGCTGGGTCAGCTCCTCTCTGGCCTCACAGCGGAGCTCCTCTTCATCCCTATAATGTGTGTAATGAAGCACTATGAGGCTGCAAGTTAGGTCCACTGCAGCAAAATGTTTTTTCCTCCAGTGAAGTTATTAGTCTGGCCTTGACAGCAGAGGAAGGAGTGCATGTCGAGTCAGCATGCCCTGTCCATTCAGCGCCGCCAGCTTGTTTTTTGGATGCACCTTTGCCAAGACACACAAAATGCCAGTGATTGAACTGTTCCATAATGTGATTCTGAGTGAGAAATTATGAATGTGCTGCCCTGCCAGGGAGCAGAGGCTTTTAAAAGAGTCACCTTTCTCCTGCTGCTGTGGCTGTGTTTGAGGCTCTGTGAACTGATCCTGTGTTTTACAGTGTGCTGTGTCTCCGTATATTAACATAGTTATGCAGTCCATCCCAGCATGTCAGAAAAGTCATCTGATTTTCAATACATTTTCAATACATACGTTTTTCAGTAACTAATTTAGCTAAAATCAAGAACAGACCTGGTATGTTAAGATCTTTGTGGTAATTGAGACTACAATCCTTTTCATAAATAATTACAGCAAAAGCTACAAATTGATGAATTGTTTACTGATAGTGATATATATATATATATATATATATATACACACACACACACCTAGAGATACAGTACAGCAATTTTTTGTAAATAATAATACTATTACATATTAATGCAGATTCTTCTACATGCAATGGGCTGGGAGAAAAGACTGTATTACTAACTGCAATAAGGTAAATGAAATAAGTCCAAACAATGTGCTCTTTTCATTGAAACACTTAAATTTACTGTAGACACACACACATTTACTTAAATCCCATAGTCACAGCCTTCATAAATCACAATCTGATAATAACGCAAACAATTAATTAGATAATTATATATTAATTAAGGGTAATAAGTGAGTAAGTAAATAAACTGAAATTAAACATGAAATTAAAATATTAAAATGATTTACGTGTTACATAAAAGTATTTGTGTGTTACACAAAAACAATGCAACAAGTGCTCAGAGTGGTGATGTGTGGAGCAGTTTGGAGTGCTTTGGGCCTGGTGTCTGTACAGCAGATGGCTCACCAACACTTTGACTGGGCTCCCTCCATGAGTGCTCTGTGCCTGGACTCTGTCACATACATTATGGATTAGTGCAGCTGCCCACAGTGTGTGTGATTTGATGGCAGTGCAGTAGATTATCTGTGGTCGTGACCCTGTGCCAGCGCAGTCCTACACCATCACCTCATTCATCTTAACAGACATGCAAGAGAAAAATTGAAGATTTTCTTTGTTTAAGCAGACATGAAAACAAATTATGAGCTTTTAACCATGTTATAACAGTGTTCCCCCATCATTTGATCACTCAGAGTTGTATCTTGATTTATTCATGCATGTGCAAGTAATCCTGTATTGTCATGCATTCAAGGCTTTAGTGCTCTGAAAATGTCTGTGGAAATACCACATATTCCTGCTCACTGTTTATTTAAAAAGCACATACATGTAGGGTTAAAGGAAGCCAGTGCATCTTTTTCTCTTATGAAGCCATTTTAGATCAAGATTGAATAACTGAACAATGAACAAAATAATTATGTTATAGTTAAATACTAAATCCCTCCTCTAATGTTTTTTTTTGTTTTTTTTTTTTTTTTTTTGTACTGTCATCACTTACCAGTCTTGTGTGGCATGTGTTTGTATGACTCTTAAATTATTTGAGCTGTCTTTTAATCGATAAATTCCTAGTAGCATAAACAAAAAAATATGTATATTGACCATTGCTCTGTGCTTTGTGCTGACAGCAAAGTTGTTTTTGAATACTGACCAGGGTGTACAGGATGAGACAATATTTCTCCGGGACTCATTCTGCCTAGTATTGAAATGCATTGATAGCACTTTGAAAAATGAAGCAGCCATTTGTCTTTTAGATTTAAGACTAGTGATAAAGCACTAATCATTGCATCCTTCAGAAGAATATCGACCGCCTCTCATCCGGATGGAGAGTAAACCGCCTGCACTGTGCGGTGCAGGCAGTGGGCTAAACTCTTGTTGTTTTTCTATAGTATCAAACCATCACAAAGCTTTTACTGCAACCCAAACGCAAATGCACTCATAAAAACCCTGTGTGCAGCCAATATCAGAGCCCATTTCCTGTTTATGACCCTTTTTTGGCAATTAGTTGAGCTGTTATATTGGCTCTGAAAATCTATTTACTAGCAACATCAAACCACAAATTTCAAATCCAGTTATTGTTGTGACTTTTATTGGAGATGGGAAAATACAAAAAAAGAGTCCGTAATTGTTGTGAGGTTTTACACAATGCTGCCCTCTGCTGACAATGTATAGTTAACTACATCAATAAATAAGTCACTTGTTATAGGATCAAACAGCTCTAGACTCGTAGACATGTTTGTGGGTTTATTTATTTCATAATGTATTATTCTCTGTTTTGTTTTGCAGGTATTTTGTTTTCAACATTGGTGTTTGGTCCAGCATGTGGCTTCATTCTGGGGTCTGTCTGTACCAAAGTTTATGTTGACGCTGTCTTCATTGACACCAGTGAGTAATAATCTTCAGTCTTTTGTACAAGAGAATATTGGGCTGCACAAAAAAGACAGCATTCTGTTTCAAGGGCACACTGTAAAAATTTAAATCTAGGACTATTAACATTTGGGAGAGGACTGAAACATGAACTGATACACTAATACATGAATACCATGAATTTTAGACATGTTTGTAGAGGTCTGCAGGTACAGTTTTCTCTACAAAAGTTCTTTGCAGGGGACAGCTTCCTTTAGGAACATCTAAGTCTTTACTATTTAAAGGTTTTATATTACACAAAATAGTTTCTTTAAGCCATGGTAGAATGTTGTTACCTCCTCAAAGACATATGTGGAGTTGTTTTTTGCTTCATTTACATGTTTGAGTAACCCTTTATTATTAGTCTGTCTACATTTCCAATGCTCTGTTCCACCTTGTGATGTCATGAAGCAGTAGTTTCCAGTTAACAGCTACCTTTTACCTTTAGTTCAGTAGAGATTGGCAATTCTAGTGAAGGTAGTACGGCGTTTAAAAACACAATGAAGCATTCCTGTATTACCATGTAACATCACAAGAGTGTTTTTTTGTTTGAGAGAAAACCTCAACCTGAATATGCAGGGTTTGTGTGTTAAACATGTGAATGAAACAAAACACAACTCCAGGTCTGATTGTGATGAGGAAACCGCATTATAATGGATCAGAAAATAGTGTAATATGGGCCCTTAATAATTGCACCAACTCAAATTGTGGTGTTGATTGTGATATATAGTGTAACCCTAAAGAGATGTTGTGAAATACATTTGATTTTATTTGTATTTATTTATGTTGCGTGTCTGTCCTCAGGTAAGCTGGACATCACCCCAGATGACCCTCGCTGGATCGGGGCGTGGTGGGCTGGCTTCCTCCTGTGCAGTGCCTTACTCTTTGTATCAGCCCTCTTCATGTTCGGTTTCCCCCAGGCTTTGGATGAGCAGGGCCTGGACTCTGGAGCGGAGAGCGAGCAGGCCATGCTGCCATCCTCTCTCACCTTGGACAGACCCAAAGCATCTATCCATGGCTTTGATATAAACAGTGGCCTATCAGTCTGCCAACACCTGAGAGGTACAGTGACGCTCCATATGTACTTTTAGTAGGGATGCACTGATCCAGCTTTTTCAGTTCAGATACTGATGCATTGACTTTAAACATTTTCATATTAAGCGATACCAGTGTAGAGATGGAAAATGCACTTATTTCCTTAATACACTGCACTGTCAACTTATTAAACAAGAGACCTAAATCTGTTGTATAACCATTATGTATCCTTCAAATTACTACTGAACAGTTTTGTATGAATAAAAATTCAAACATTACAAACGATTTGGATCAGATACATAGATTTACGTAATCATTTTGAAAGCTTGAGAGCTTTTGCCACTCCCCACTAATTGATCTGCAGGACATGTCTCTTGTCAAGAATAGAATACAGTTCAACTGGAAACATGTGAGTCTTTTGCTACAGTGTACTAGGACTGTCATGAAAACACATACTTAATTGAGATATGTACAACACACATCACCATTAATAAAAATATTAAAATTGATTTCTGCCATAGACAATTATAATTATTTTTATAAACAAAACATAAGTAGTTAGTTGATATAGCAATTATTGTGCCAGGCCTACGGCACACAGTGTTGCAGGGCATTTATAGGCCTACTGACAAAGGCAACAGGCAACTATGTCATTGAATGTGTGGATGTAACAGACAAGCTGTTCTGCTTTATCTGTTTTTAGTGATACCCCGGGTGACCAGGCACCTTCTCTCCAACCCCGTGTTCACCTGTATTACCCTGGCAGCCTGCATGGAGATAGCTGTGGTTGCTGGCTTTGCTGCCTTCTTGGGGAAATACTTGGAACAACAGTTCAATCTTACCACCTCCTCTGCCAATCAGCTACTCGGTAAAAAGCTCAAGATGACAGGGCACATTTGCTAAACTCTGCACATTCTAGCCCATTGTATCTCTGTTTGTGTAGGTATGACAGCCATCCCTTGTGCATGCCTGGGCATCTTCCTGGGAGGACTACTAGTGAAAAAGCTGAATCTGTCAGCGCTGGGAGCTGTGCGCATGGCCATGCTCGTCAACCTTATCTCCACTGCCTGTTACGTCTCTTTCCTCTTTTTGGGCTGTGATACTGGGCCTGTGGCTGGAGTTACTGTTGCATATGTCAATGAGTAAGTACAAGATGACAACTTGACTTGCTGTTTTATTTAAGTAATGTACAGAGCAATACTACCATGAGTATCATGTAAAAACAATATTTTTTTGAATCTTGTAATACATACATACAATACATACATAAATATTGTGTAAAGTATGATAGTACCTTGAAATAACATCAAGTAATCATGTTTTTTTTGTTTGTTTGTTTTTTAATGTTTCATTATAATTTTCATTTTGTACTGTGTAATGGATTCTCTTTTTCTTAAAACATGACATAATGACACAATTAGCTAAAATGTATTTACTCAATTGGCAGTAATACGTTTTCGTAAATCAGCATTAGCCTAAGGATTTAGATTGCAGCAAGAAAGAACTATTTTTAATTTTTGCCCTAGTTTTGTCTGGCAGATAACTTGCATGGTCTTTGCCCATAGGACATTACATTCCTGGCAGATGCCTGAGTCTGCATGCATCAGTAACTGTAACTGCTACACAGCATCAGTGAGCCCTGTGTGTGGTTCCAATGGAATCACCTATCTCTCAGCGTGCTTCGCTGGCTGCACCAAACGAGTGAGCTGACCATTTATATGTGTTCATATTATTCATTATTTGGTATAGGGTTTGTTTTCTTTTTCCGTAATTTTCTGATCTTGCATTTGCCAGAACTTGACAAGCTGCACATGTGTATCGAGCAGCAGTGAGGAAGCTGTGGCTTTACCTGGGAAGTGCCCGAGCCCAGGCTGTCAGCAAGCCTTCCTCACCTTCCTCTCCATAATCTGTGTGTGCAGCATGATTGGAGCAATGGCCCAGACCCCCTCAGTCATCATACTCATCAGGTCAGACATCTGCTGTTTAACTACTACTGTGTAACCACAAGAGGGAGCTGCAGTCCTGTTTATACAGTGGTGCTGCAGCTCGAGATATATAAAAGCTCCTAACAAATGATGTATCTATTAGTTTTAATATGATTTTATTTATTAATTCTGTAATAATTATAATTTTAACATTTTTTTCTCTTCAGAACTGTAAGCCCTGAGCTTAAGTCCTATGCCTTGGGGGTATTGTTCCTGCTCCTCAGACTTATAGGTAAGAGCAGAATCTATACACCCTCTACTAGTATATTTGTCTATGCTTAAACTTAGACATAGTTTGGCTTTTGACCTCATGTGTGCACTATAACCTCCAGGCTTCATCCCTCCCCCGCTCATCTTTGGAATGGGCATCGATTCCACCTGTCTGTTCTGGAGCTCCGTGTGTGGAGAGAAAGGTGCCTGTATGCTGTATGACAATGTGTCCTACAGACATCTGTATGTGAGCATCGCCATCGTGCTCAAGTCCTCAGCCTTCCTACTGTACGCCACCACATGGCAGTGTCTGAGGAGGAACTACAGGAAGTACATTAAGAACAGTGAGGGCTACCTGACACCCACTGAACTCTTCTCATCTAATGTGACCCTGGACAATCTGGGCAAAGACATCACCATCAACACAGCCAACAGGACAAAGTACATTTATAACCTGGAGGACCACGAGACCAGTGACAACATGGAGTCAGTTTTATAGTCTGTACCATAGACTGAGCCGAGTTAGGGCTCTGTGTTTGAATCCATAGAATGCCCACAGAAATGATCTATTCTTGAGTTTTGATATATATATGAGAGTGAAGATGTGCTTTTCCTTTTCTTATGGGAGAGGTAATACTACGTATCTGAGCTTTTCCAGAGTATTAAGAGAGATGTAAATTTGTCACAGCTCTGGTCACTTATGAAGCCAGATTCCCTTGAATATTTAATCCAACTTTATTTTTACTTTACTTTATTTAATTTTATTTTATTTTTTAGAAATATCTGTTGTATCTATTTAGTTTATTAACTATTTCTTTCATTTAGAAAGAAGTACTTCTCAGGTGCAGTTGTTCTCAGAGAGGAAATACAAAGGTTTAGAAAATCTTTTTGATAAAGGTTTGAAAACATTCTGTCATAGTGCACTTTCACAAAAGGAGATTTAAGCCTTTACGCTGCTTTTTTATTTTTAACATTTTAACTTATTTAGAACCTAAATATTTACTTGACCCACACCTATAGGATTAATTTAATGAAAGAATGTGTTAGTTTGAAGAAAGGTGCACACGTATCTGGCATTGAAAAGAAAACTGCTTTATGTGCACCATCTTCTCAGCCAATAAGTCCATTTTGTGGTTCAGACTCAAGATGATAGTGACTTGATTTTGATGCACATATTAGCAGGGGCCTTTTATACTAAAGGACTGTTCTTTAATAGGCATTTGTTTGCTGATGGTTGTTTTATTTTGTAATTATCCCTTTACTCATATGTTCCATATAAGATCACAAGGCCACATATTTTTTCTCAGCTATGAGGACGTTTTAATTAAGATACATGGAAGCAAACAGTCCTTAGCCATCTGATAATCCTTTCCAATGAAAGCTTCAAACTGACCAGCAGTCCACATCTTTGTCCCTACCACCATGCAAAACCTTCATTGTAGTGTAGAGCTTCTGTTGGAATAGTGCCCTGCAGCAGTAATGCAAGTAATACCAGAGGTGAGTAGAATAGTCAAAAATAGTGCTTAAGTAATATTACTGTCATTTCAAAATTATATTACTCAAAGCACAATGTATTGGTCCAAGAAATGACTCTAATGACAGTAAAAAGTAGTAAAAGCAGGGGAAACTACTAAAGTAAGAGTCATTAAAAGAGTAACTGCCTGGATTTTTGGGATGTATAACTTGGAATTGGAAGACCAAAACAACGAATAATGCACAAAATCTGGTAAATGAGAAAAACTAAATCAAAACTGAAGAATCTGTGCAAAAAACAAAAACAAAAAACAAAACAATACAAAACAAAAAAAAAACCCAAATGCTTAAATCATTTAATATGACCAACATAAAATTTTTGTCAGTTTTGTAGACTCGCAGTGGGTGAACAAAACTCAAGTAAAACTGCTCAAGTAAAAAGAGTATTTTTACTTCAATAAAAATAATACTTGTAGGATAAAATGTGTACTGCTAGTTAACTACTCAAAAGTACAGTTTCTTTAGAACGTTACTCAAGTGTAATTGTGTACTATACTCACCTCTGTGTAATACATAACTACATGATAATTAACAAGCCAGGGAGTAAACAGAGGTGGTCCCGTGGGAGAGAGATGCAGAGGTGGAGGGCTGTACCGTCACAGTATTAACAGAGGCAGTACTTGCATTTAAGCACATGGCACCAAGTTGAGCTATTCACTGCACTTATAGATGGGTTCACAGACAAAACACCGCATGATGCACAGTGTTCAGCCAGAATGATCAAAGCATGCTCCCAATGCATGCACAAGGAAACACACATTTTTATATCAGCATACACTGTTGGTCATTTAAAGTGCATATGGCAAGTTACACCAGTCATTTAAGAATTTGCTAGAAAAGTCTTATCTAGCTTCAGTGGTGCAAAAGGGTGCATTGCAACCACAGTTAAAATGTTTGCACCCTCATTTCAGACACCTAAAATAATGCCACTTAATGGAAGCATATTATGTTCGCACCCTTTTGAAACTCAAAAGCATGCTTGGTCTGCAGCAGAAGGGACATGCATATATATTTATAACCATTTCCAAGGGCAAAAACTCCTCTAATTCCCACAAGAGTTGTTATCTGACAAATTAAAATGTATGACAACACCTGATCATTTTCTGAAATTATTGTTTAAACTGTCCTTGCCTATGTCTTATGCATTTTGGATGGAACTTCATGCTTTCATGATATATATTTTTCACCTTGTTTTACTTGTCTTTGCAAACTGCCACTTGACTGATGTAAAGCTATGATAAATATTTAACACAAGTTCTATCCAACCAAACCAGTTAATAATCAGAAATAACACAAAAACCTGTCATATGCACTTTATATGCCATAGCCCCAACTTGTTTGATTTCAGTAGAGTTTATGGTCAGTTTTTGATAGTACAGTATAATAATAATAATAATAATAATAATAATAATAATAATAATAATAATAATAATAATAATAATAATATACATCATGACAGTTTTTTTATTTGTTCATTGTACTGTTTGGCACCGATGTGTATTTTTTCAGATTGCACTCCCTTCATATAGTTTTAAATATCAAGTTAAAACTATTGGACCTAGACTCACCATAGAGCCATGCCAAAGTTTTAAAACTCACAACAAATCAACATGAGAGTAAGCAAATGCACCCTTAGTGTAATGCAATGTTTAAAGATGAATGGATGAAAAGCCGTTTTAGATAAAGGATTGTACGTAGGTATAACTTGTTTCCTGCTGGAGACCAGCTTAGGATGAGCAGGTGGCAGCATCTCAGCAGTGTGATGTGTACCATTGAGTGTGTCTGAGTGTGTGTACATATAGTGCCATCCAAGTGACGCTGTGTCAGGGTAATGTCCAGCAGAGAACTTAACACAAGAGCTCAGATTCCAGTTGTATGTAGCCTTCTGTGATATCCCTCCACTTCCTCAAACCATATCACATGGGATTGTTTCATAAAAGTATATATAAAGTATTGTATATCTACCAGTAGAAATCAGAAGTGTTTAGTATGTAATAGCTGTTTAAAAATAACAATGATAACAATCTCTAGCCTGACTTTAGATCTAGTAGAAATGGCCAGGTGTAGAGGAAACTTCACAGACAGATCCTTGCTCTGTGCCTGAATAAGAAACTGTACACTTTGTTTTGGTGGAGCCTTTCTTGTGCCATATCACCCCGTGCTCTGTAACACAGAGGCCAACGTGTGTGGCTGCCTAAAGAGAGAAAGGAGCGGCCGCACTCGCTCCGTGTTTGTGCTGCACTGACGGGACTGTTTCATTTGGCACCTAAATGTGCTTCTGATGTTTGCCTTGTGTTCAGCATAATTGTTTTACATACGATTTTTCTCTTTTGATGAGCTTGCCTTGTGGTTGCAGCAAGTAGACTTTTATAGTTGACTTTAAGTGATAAAGTATTGTATATTGAAGAGTTTACTGCCGAAATAGTTTACTTGAGCCTTTGAAGTGAGTAGCTCTCTTGTAAATAGGTTAATCATGATTTACCCTTTAATTTTTTATTATCTTTTGCATACAATGGATGCTATTTTGGAAGGAAACTCTTCATGTGCAGATAGATATTTTGGTTTGAGCAGCATGTTGCCTTTGATTCAAGCAAAACCATGTGCTAACCATGTTAGTGACGGTTGGAGTGGTCTGTTGCTTACAGTCTGTTATGGGTGATATGAAGTGTGCATTTCACGGCTCTTACAAGATCATCTATTCTAAAAGAATAAGGGCACTGAAATAAGAAAATATCACCTATTTTTTCAGAGCATCACTATGGGACTTCAGATAAGCTTTATTGCTTTTATTCTTTTTGTAACATGGATTTCTATTTAAAACATAAGTGTATGTGTATATTCTTGAAAAGGTTCATGATTGTATGTTTATTGTACATATATTAAATATAATATTTTTATTTGGCTATATGGCTATTGCATCTTGATTAAGTTTTGTCCTATTTCTGTCATTAAGAAAATACAGCTAAACTTTATTCATTATTGATCTGAACAATAGTCCAGTCTATTCAGTCCTATTAAAAGTGGATTTTGCTGTTCAACCATTGGTCAAACATGAGCTAAAGGTCACATTTCCCTCTCTAAATCACTAGCAAAGAAGATAAATCCTGACATGGGTTTAATCGAAATGTGCTCATGCTTTGCCATGATCTAATTTCCTGTCATCCCAACCCTCTGGTTATCCACGAACTCCCCACAGCGCCACAGTGCACAGGGCAGATAATAGCAGGGCTCTGGAGTGACTCTTGAATCACCTCGTACCAGGTTGGAGCGTCTCTGATGAGATGGAGGCATTGGACTCCTGATTCTGGAGTACAGACGAGATCCTGCTCCAGTCACTGTTCACTGAGATGGGAAGCGTGCTATTGCATGTTCCACTTGATGGCAAGTCACTGCGAGAGGTTGTGTCATGTTCTTTGGCTATTGACTCAGTGACTTGGGACTTTACAAGTAACCCTGGGCTGTGTAGGCTCCCTGTGAGCTGACAGAGAAATGTGTCTTCCACATTTCTTCACAATGACCTGAAGATTCTTTTGGACTGACAGGGCCATGTCCCAAAGTCTCACCCATGCACCCTCACCTCACCTCTCTGTGACCTTTGCCGTCTCTCATACTGTGTTTGCTTTGGGTGTCTTCTCAATGGAAACAGTTCACTGAACTTGTGTATCTGAACTGATAAAGCTATGGATTACCTGTCTACAGCAGCCGGCCTTTTTGCCTTCTCCTACATGGATGACATAGCACACAGTTCAATGCTACACAGTCTGTATTATTCACTGTCACTGTGGGTTGAAAAGTCAAGGCACAGAGTAAGCACAGGCCATTAGCTGGTGCTGAAATGACAGCACAAAGAGCCAGGGCTTCATACACTCACAGCTGCCTCTGCCCTTTGCATCCTCCAACACACAAAATCACCATATGCCCTTCATTTGTTGGAAAAATTAGAATATCCGGACATGCCATGGTGTGAATAAATGATGATATATTCGTCTCTGTGCTGTATGCAAAGGGATCATTCTGCATGTGACTAATGCCTGGTCGTGTGACGTGGCTCGACAGCTGCTGACCTGATTTATTGCGAGGTTCTCTGCGTTGTTAAAAACATTCTCTGACTCAGTGACAACGGCCCAATTATCCCCTTCATGCAGAGAAGGTCCATATACAAAAGAGGTTGTGAATTGCAAATCCAGTTGCAGTCTGTCCTTGTTCTACTCTAATCTAATAATGTGATCCATCATTTCAGCAGCGACGGCTCTGCACCCCAGGAATGGAGCATGAATCCCACCGAGGATTGATATCAAGATGTTTGCATATCCATATATGCACTCCAGAGAGCCTGCCGGCACATAAAAATCACAAACATATTTATTATATTGTCTTGGTATATTTCCATTGCATTGCCTTATTTATTATTGATTTTTCTTTTGTGTAGAACATCAGGTAGCCTACACATGCACTTGACTTTCATAACTAGCCTGAACCTCTGCATTTAAAAGAAATACAAAAATCCAGCTCAGGATCTAGTGCTGTTGGTTGAGAGATGGTCCTGTTGGCGAATCATCCATTACCCTGATGAGCCTGCAGCCCCTGAGCTCTGACAGTGCGCAGCCACACCATCAAGCAGACAGCCCACTGCCACTATTTGTGCCGCTGCAGCATTCATCACACTAATTACCCATGGTGCCAAGCAGCTCACACGGCCGCTGAAGCTTTGGCGGCTCGTTTGAAGCAGAGGTGAAGCAGGGAAACCTCAGATGAGTCTAAACACAAGTCTGTCCTCTTTTTTCCCCTGCACATAATTAACTCGGCAAGTTGACAAATTGGAATGATGAATTTGGCCTCTATGAATAGATACAAATACATGATCAATCAAGATCAGGCCGGAGCAAATGTGCTGTGGTGAAGGACGCAGAGAACATCTGAATGGCATTTGGTATACTTTGGGGAAAAAAATGCAAAACTGAAAGGACTTCTTCTATGTAAAATATGACTACTAAAAAGGTCAAACAAAGCCAGTCCTGATGTGTCCACTATCTGTGTAAAATTCTCACCAGAAGGACTACCTACATTTCCCCAGCTGAAGACTTTTTCATTTTGTCTACTAGACAGAACCTTCAACCTTCTTTTGTCTCCCTCTCAATATTTGAGAGGGAGACACTAATTGTGGACAGATGCAAAGGGAAAGTCTCATTGCCATATATGCCACCAGTTCTGGGGAAGCAGCAAAACTTCTGAAACATAAAAAACATGAAAAAGAATATTTGAAGATGGAAATACAGTATAAGGGATCCACTTGGGCAAACAAAAAACATGTAAACATTTTCCATTTGCAAATTTGACAAAAAAAATCAGTAAATGATGAAATTCAAAATATCTGCATATTGTACCTATATTGACAGCGTAAATTGTAGCCACAGTCTGCAGGACCAAACATTCCACCTAAATGGAGACCTATTGTGTAAAATGAGCTTCTTCGTCACATGCTTAATCTGAGTTACATGTCATTCATGACTGATTAATCTTTCATTGTCCTGCATCCAGGCTTCAATGTTCAGTTTTCATCTACCCCCCTATCTCGGTCCATTGCTCTACCTGTACTTGCAAATATTCAAAAACTCAAGAGACATACATGTAGAGTTCAAAAATGTCACATAACCATTTTTCAACAATAAAAGAAAACCTGCTGCTATCTAAAATATTATAAAAGCAAGGAAGCAAAACAGACTTGAATTTGACAGGATTTATTTTGGAAAAATTTATAGGAGTCACAAGGGTGTCTGTATTTTGATCACTCATTTAGCTATGATGGTTAAGCCTAATCTTGTCAGAGATAATGGTCTCTTGTCTGTCTGAGGTCAAAGGTTAAACAGGACTTAGAACGACTGCTAATGAGGATGCTAACATTTCAACCAAGATAGAGCCTCAGCTCTTTGTGTGGCATGTTATTGATCCACTTCAGAAAAGTTCTGGTTAGCCTGCACTTTAATAGAGAAAAACATTAGAAGTTGAGTTAAAGAGGTCATAGCTGAGCTACCTAGGGTTAGAGAAAGGTGAGGGTCACATGAGTGGTCACAGGTGAAGCAGAGCTTGAGTAGAGCTAATCTAACTTACAAGCTATTGTAGCTCTCTGGCCACAGTTTGACCCGACTTATGGCCGAAGAAATCCAACGTTGATTGTAAGACAGGGTTCAAAGTTCAGCATGTGTTGCATCTGCTTAAAATGACTTAAACTACATAATAATAAATAATATATGTCAAATTTGTTACAAATCATATATCATCAACAATTCTCTATTATATTAAGGTTTAGTAATTGCAATATCCCGGGGCTTGCGTCAATATTTTTCCAGCATTTGCAATAGACCAAATTTATGTGCTTTGGTAGGTAGCTGCATGAGCAACACTGTAAGCCCCCACCAATAGCACTGGTGTACTTTTAGATCACACGTATTTATCCTTTTACTATAATGAGCTTATGCCAAATCCATTCAGTCAAAACATTCGACCCTCACCAATCCTTTCCAGTGAAATATGAAACTCCTGTGGCATAGCATGCATAGGGTCAACTAAAAGATCAATTGTGTTACAGCCAGTTGCACAAAAACACAAAAATTTCAAAATTTCCTTTTCACTGATTATTTTTAACCAGAATATAGCTTCTGTAGCCCACCCAAATAGTACCAGAGCTCACTCATCACACTTGAACATGGCGAGCTTAACATATTGCTAATGTTCTAGGGTTAAACACCATAATGGGATGCTGTATTAAAATGATAGATGATTCCCTAAATTCTCTATGGATCTTTATCAGCACGCCCGTAGCACCTCCCACTGTGCTGTAAACTGTCTCGTCTTGATGCTTGTGCCGACACAGCAGGCCTCCCCTCCCAAACTCTCCTCCAATTAGCCTGCGCTCCGCTCCCCATGCACTGCTGTCTTAACGCCTTAAAGGCCACTGGGAGCCAAGGATTTATCATCTTTAAACATCTTTTATCCTCTGTTAAAGTGAGAATGTTAACCTGCCACACATGCCACAGGTTAAATGGCAGAGAAACAGACCTGTATACAGTAAAGTGTTTAGCCTTGACCTTCTGTTGTGCGTGAAACATCAGCTGCCTGTTGGCCATCTTTTTGCTTGTGCATGGTGCCGCAGGATGACTGCAGAGCTGGCTGTCTGAGGGAACATGACAGCGCACTCAGCCCAAGGACCCGTGGTGCATGAGTCAACAGTGAAGTGCAATGTGGATATTTTCATATGAAGATGAGCTGGCTCCATCAAAGGCCCCGTTGGCATCACCGTGACTGGATATTTATTTATTTAATTGTTTGTTTGTTTATTTATTTATTTATTGGGAGAGGAGGTTATGAAAAATGACATTAACTGATAGACACAGCCATTGTATTTTTTTCTATTAGGCCCATTTTTCATATTCCGTAATAGAAACGTGAGTGATCTCCTCTTTATGCTTTTTGAACATGATCTAGTAACACTAGGTGGCATTACATTCCTGCACTTCAAATGTGCTGGGTCCAACACGTGGATCGTGTCACTTATATTTACACTTGAGCCTGCATGATAATCTGCAGAGGATAGTCATAAGCAGAGTTATAATGTTGAACATTTCTAACACACGACACACACAGTGAGATCAAATAATACCTGTGAAAGAAAAGAAATCCACGGCATCTGTAGCTACTGCACACTGCTTACAGCCACACCCCCCTCTCCAGTCACGGCTAAACCACTCCTCTACCCCGCCTACAACGCGCAGACGTCACTGTTTGTGACGCGTGAGCGCACCAATCTCTTCCTCCGTCCCAAGCGAAGCCTCGCCAAAATCATCATCCATCACAGCTCTCTCTCCTCCGGTGTCTTTATCGTAACTTGAGTGACCAGGACAGTGTGGGCCGCCTGGAGCCTGGTGAAACGCTGTTTTCTTCTCGTGGAGGATTTGCGTAAAGCGGGAAAGTCTGGACATAAGGAACCTCATCATAGACTGCAACTAGAAGATTCGTATGTGGCGTGGATGGAGACACTGATTTGCGCAGCTTTCCCTCGTTATGCCTGGATGGAGTAGCAGTCATCAGTCTGCATGAAGCGTCATTTGGATTATTAAAGCACTTTTCGTGGGACCTTCTACTACGTATAGTCGAGTATCTGGTCATATGAAAAGTAAAAATTGTCCCACTGAGGTTGATTGCTTCAAAAGTGTAAATTCATGCAGGTCAGACTTGTACTTTAGTTTCTAAGCGGACTGTCACTATACGCGCAAAGTTTGAAAATAGTCGATATGGCTATGGTTGTGTGGAGAAACCCTGAAGGCGTGGGGGACTCCCAGGGGACCCTTTCGTCCCCCGTGTCCCAGGTTGCACCCCTACCCCTACCCGGGGATCTGGTGGGACACATGAACCCAACAGCCTCTCTGGAAATCCCCGCGGCTCCAGCGGGATCCCAGGGCGCATCCAGCACCTCTGTCACTACACCCGGCAACGGGAACAACAACTCTTCCTCCTCTTCGTCGTCCTCCTCGTCCGGAGACAAGCAACAGAGCCAGCAGATTGAGTGCATCGTGTGCGGGGACAAGTCCAGCGGAAAGCATTATGGCCAGTTCACCTGTGAGGGATGTAAGAGCTTCTTCAAACGCAGCGTCAGGCGGAACCTGACCTATACTTGCCGGGCCAACAGGAACTGTCCCGTGGACCAGCACCACCGCAACCAGTGCCAGTACTGCCGCCTCAAGAAGTGTCTCAAAGTGGGCATGCGGAGAGAAGGTACAGTGCACAAGCTCGGGAAGCAGCTATGCTATTACCATTTTACGTGCAGTGTGCACACATGTCCAGAGTAATCTATGGGTTCCATTTCCACTTTATAGTAGGCCTAATAGTACATGTAAGAATATTTTTAACTTTAAAATCGACATAAACAACTGTTTCGCGTCATCCTTTACATATCCAGCCATGACCGATAGCTACTCGGCCATATGCTGCCTTTGTTCGCCTTTATCAAAAGCGACATATCTATTTGTTGGCTAAAGTCCCTGTTTTTTTCAGTGAGCCATATCGTAATTATAGGTGGTTTAATCTAAATTCTATTTAATTTTTACATTTGCTAAATTTTCATTCATTTGTATATTCATGGATATAAGGATAGCTAGCCTAATGAGTGTTATTGCTTCGTTATAAAGGCTTTCTTTCCTGTAGGGTACAAAAGTTTCCTATGCAACATGTTTTAAATGTGTCGTGCCGACTTGTGCCTCATTTGAGTAGGTTCTGTTTGAATTAATCCGTCCATGAGGCTGCTCTTTGTAGTGTAGCCTTCATGTAGCTGTAGCAAGCTCTGTCAGTGTCAATTCAAGTAGGCTCTCTGATCAGGCCACAGGACATTACAATTGTGCTTCCTTTTCATTTTAAAAATAAACTTTATGCTCAGAATATGCAAAATACTAAATTAAATTTGGCAAACATCCTTTGAAACCTTATTTCAATCTGGGGGGCATTATACGACCCCAGGACTTGTAGCTTTAAACTGTAGCCTAGCCTACTTTTTACACAACATGCATAACTGGTATTATTAATTCACCTTTTTATGTTATGCATTTATTAGTCAAAATGACCTCCTAAGAGCTAGGCCTGTATCTGTGTGAGTTCACCCATAGGTCGTGGCCTCTGACAGATCACGAGTTCAACGTGACGCTGTGGCACGTAAAGCCTTATCGTAGTGGCCTGTTTACGTTTTACTTTATTATAAATGATATGCAAGGCCACACCTTAAGACGACATTTGTACAAAATATCTAACTAGACAATAAACCTTTTTAGCCCTACTTCGTGTTGAACGTGGGTGCACTGTTCATCACTGTGTGTTGTGTCCCGCAGCTGTGCAGAGAGGCCGTGTGCCCACTCAGTCTTATCACGGTCAGTTCGCTTTGACAAACGGGGACCCTCTGCAGTGCCACTCGTATCTGTCCGGATACATCTCGCTGCTGCTACGGGCCGAGCCTTACCCCACCTCCAGGTTTGGCTCCCAGTGCCTCCAGAACAACAACCTAATGGGCATCGAGAACATCTGCGAGTTGGCGGCGCGGATGCTCTTCAGCGCAGTGGAGTGGGCCCGGAACATCCCATTCTTTCCTGATCTGCAGGTACCGGACCAGGTCGCCTTATTGCGCCTCACTTGGAGTGAACTGTTCGTGCTTAACGCGGCGCAATGCTCCATGCCCGTACACGTCGCCCCACTGTTGGCCGCCGCCGGGCTACACGCTTCCCCCATGTCCGCTGACCGCGTAGTGGCCTTCATGGATCACATCCGGGTTTTCCAGGAGCAGGTGGAGAAGCTCAAGGTGCTCCACGTGGACTCAGCAGAGTACAGCTGCATCAAGGCCATCGTCCTGTTCACAACAGGTACAACACAACACTGTAGCCTTCAAGCCTAAGCCTCAGCATGAAAATATTCTTGTTGTCATCTCAGAAATGACATCCTACAAAAATGTGATTCCAAAAACATTAAGGCAAAAAATTAAAATAAAAACTCTTTAAACAAGAAAATATTTTGATTTGAAATTCAGAAACATGAAACCAGAACATGAAATTCTATTTCACATTTAAGCTTGCTATTAACATTTATACATTGCTTTATTTTAACTTAATATATCAATAGCCTAGTAAATAAAACAAAAACAAAGACAATATAAATATACAATGAAAAAAAATCCCATAAAATTGCACTTTTTCTTTGTTTGTTACACTTATTTATTTATAAAAGTACAGCGCACACATATTATTTACTAAATTTCTTTAACAATATTTATATTTTCATACTACAAATATCACAATTTCTAGAATAACATCTGATGGCTGGAGAGTGAACAAGATCAAAAGTACAAGTGCTTTAAAGTAAAAAATAAAGCAGGTCTCCGATGATGATCTATTTTGGTCCCGTCAGCGCATGTGTACACGTGTCTTCAAACTGGGACACAGTAACCGTTCTTTAACCCCTGCTTCCATTCGGCCTGCTGCTCTACAGTACCACCACAGGCTGCTGTGTGGAAAAAAACAACACATGCAGCATGTGAAGGAACACTGGGGGCAGTGTGTACTGGAAATGCACTGTATGCACGGTCCATGACATATACAACAATATTGGCAAAGGTTGTCACTGAGTAGAGAGTACTACTCTATATACATTTGAGGTCTGATGGAATTAGTTGACATGAGAAAATGTCAATTAATTGACAAACTACATTTTTTTTCGGCTTTTCAAATTATAAATGATGTTGAATTAACAGTTTAGACATGCACTTACAGTAATCGCATGGTTTGTGTGTTTGTGCGCAGATGCCTGCGGTCTGTCGGACGTGGCTCACGTGGAGGGTCTGCAGGAGAAGTCGCAGTGTGCTCTGGAGGAGTACGTGAGGAGCCAGTATCCCAACCAACCCACCAGGTTTGGAAAGCTGCTCCTACGCCTGCCCTCTCTGCGCAGCGTCTCTTCCTCTGTCATAGAGCAGCTCTTCTTTGTGCGTCTGGTGGGAAAGACTCCCATAGAAACTCTTATAAGAGACATGCTGCTGTCTGGGAGCAGCTTCAACTGGCCGTACATGCCTATTCAGTAGAAGAAGCTACCACGGTGCTATAAGGTCAGGAACGGTCCCATACCTCAAATTCAGCCAACTGAACTACTGCATCTGTAAACCTGCTGTTTCTAACAAGGGAAACACTGCACTCGCCACTGGGAATATGATTGACTTCTCTCTGGAAGCAAACCACAGAATTTCCCTTGTTAGAATGGAGTCACTTGTGAGAGTACTAACTGCATACGGCATGGACCTGCCCTGTGTGGGACTACTCACATTCTGTGTGGTTTGGGATAACAAACTATATTTATTGGACCTTGTGTGTATTTATCGTGCTCGTAAATTATGATTTTGATCCTTTTCCACTATTTCTGTATTTCTTGCCCCAAGTAGTGAAAAAACTGCAGGGAATATCTTGTGTCAATTTTTTTACACCTTCTGAACGATACGGCACTTTGAAAAAAAAACATTTTTTTATGTTAACCAGTGTTTCAAATGCAACATTTACAGGTTGGTTGCAGGTTTATGTCACTTTAACTCAAGTTTTGGAATGAAAATGGATGAGATTACGCTGTTTTTGTTGCTTTTGTTTTATTTGTAAAAGAAATACAGCAAGGCAACTAAAACAGGGAAGTAATAACATTTTATATAGATTTATTGGGAACCATTGTGGTTATGGCAGTAACTTTTCCTCTTATAATATTTTCTATATGGTATTTTTGTCTTCTTTTTTTGTAAAGTGTAAAGGACATATTTCTATCTTTCGAACCAGAATGGCAACACTTTTTTATGTCTACATTTGTCAACACTACTTTAAACCTGGGTGTTTTCGTTTATGCATCCAAAGTCATCTCTCTTTTACACTGTTGACATTGACCCAGGTGAGCGGCTATATGAGTTAGACACATCAACAGCATATTGGGAGTGGTGATGTTTACAGTGTCCCAGAGGTGAGGGTTTTGGATAGGAGAGAGGTGACATGAGCCCAGCTACTTTCGGGCACCACACACCACTGCAGGGTATTGCTCTTAAATTTGAGTATCGTATGTGTGCGTGCATGCGTTTGTGTGGCTGAATGTTTTTGTGCTTACTTCTTTCTGACAACACTCTGATGTACTGTGAAAACTTATTGGTATACCGTATTAAATTATAACTTCAGATTTATAAATAAAGTGTATTGTTTATTTTCCATTTTAAATCGTGGTTGTTTATACTTAAGCTTGAGCACTACAGAGGAAATTGTAATTTAGGTTTAAGTAAATCTCTGATCAGCAACAGACAGCATATTAAAAACTGATATACGAGTCACTTTATTTTGGAAATTGATATTATAGGTTATAAGGCATGTCTTTTATTTATATTAAACATCACGTACACCTAAAAGTACAAGATTAAATGTAACTTGTATGGTGCAACCACCTCGTGCTGTCTGTTGATAGCAGTATTTCAGTGGTCTGAGCAGAGCAGAATTAAAATGGCAGGTTATTATAGTGTGTCCTGCACTGGCAGATTGAGGAAGACAGAGAGGATTAAGGCTGCTTCTTTGCTTCTTAGTGGACAGAGAGCTAATGAGAGGCCCCCGAGTTCTCTGTCACTACAGTTTACCCGGAGGAAAATGAAGCAGGGCGCTGCAAGGCCCCTGGCTGTTCAATGCCAAAGGGCCACCGTAAAACAATAGAGTTTTTTCCCACACACGTACAGAACCACGGGGAGAGAATATGAAGAAGTATGGCGGCTCTGCTGGACGAAAATGCAGTCTGGGCTAATGACGCACAGCAAGCATGGCGCCATTCAGTGCACTCCCCCCTCTGTGTAGCTGGGTGTACTGTTTTCATAAATTAAACGTCTCAGTATTTGCGCTCTGGACAGCGCGCACTAGGTTGAGCCAATCAGCGTTAAACATGTATAGTTAAAGCCAATCAGAGTGTTTAATTCACTTTACTGAGTGATATGTCCGCCATGGCAACGGTAAAAGCAAAGCCCGACTCCCGCTCATAACAAAATGCTCAGTGCTGTAGCCTGTCTGTTGTTGATTTGATTTGAAAAAATAAATACATTAGTCATGATAATATTCAACAATGATCATTTATTAATTTATGGCAATTTTTTTCCCTGGATAATTTCTAAACAAAAACATAGCCTATTTATTATTTTTCATTTTGGAATGACCTGACAGGCCTAATTCTACGCACTTCACCGCATCAGAAAAGCTCAATAGCCTTGTAAAAAATAAGGTCAGGACATAGGCCTATTCCAGAGCCGTCCATGAAAATAAAAATAAAATAGCCTGCGTCTTTTACACTTTCTACTCAGCGTGCACCGTAAGATAGATTGCTTTATTGTGGTCGAAGTCTACACTTTTAAATCACGCGGAAATTATATACTAACGCCATAAACACAAATGTAATGGCTCTGTTTTTGAACTGCTCCTCTGACACTGCGTATTAATGTGTCCGTAATGGCTTCGCGCAATTCAAACTGTTGACATATTCACACCATATAGACTAATTAATAGGCTAGCAAATTCTTATTCATTGTTTATTTAAATGTTCATCATGATGTAGTTCTCTTGTTTACATCTCGAACTGAAATGGAATACCAAACAAATCTGCAGTTTGTTTAAAAGTATGTATTTGTAAATTTACTAACTAGGCCTAGAATAGAGTATAAGGTTAAAGGTGATAATGGAAAATCTCGACTTTAAGGTCTTTGCAAAGGATAGCCCATAAAAAAATTAAAATCTATCTTTTTTTTCCATTAAATATATAAACGTAGCAAATGGACTCACACACAAAAAAGCTATTGTCACATGTTAACAAACGATCACACAATATGCTTTTCTAATTTATCCGCTTCACCGTGTTTTTGAAGTACTTAAAAACACGGATCATAATAAAAAAATATGCCTATATGAGTTTTATAATATAGCCAGCCAGGTTCCGTAATTTAAATTTGTAGGCAGATGTTTTACGCTATTATCTAGGCTAGCTTAAGGAGTAGGCCTATATAATCAGGAAGGTAAGGCCCACAGGCCTACCCAAGAGGCCTGTGTCAAGTTATTTAGGGCAAGCTTTAAACTTTACTTACACTGTCTTAGATTGTTAATGAATCTCGTACTCGATTAGCTATCCAGCTCTCCATTTCCTATTTGAAAAGACAACAACATTATGGGGAATCTGCAGACTCAAATACAAGCTCCGCATCTATAGGACGCAATTTAAGGTGCAACTTTAACCCCGAAACAAGTCAATATTTTGAAACGCTTATTTATTTCATTTTGTTGTAATGCGCCTTTAAATGATCAAGTTCAAACGGGCAAGCACGTGAGCGCCGTCCCAAAACGACCTCGCGTTTCCAGGGCGCATGGTGCCAATGCCCTGTGTGTGCATTAGGGCAGAGCGGGCTGTAGGTAACGCATGGAGCAATTACTTAAAGCAAGGCCCATCTGCCCGCAGCAAAATTAATCTAAAGTTACTTTTATTCGCTCCAAATGGAAAGGACAGTGTGAGGAAAATCTGAAGAAATGCGTCTCAAAGAAACCCACTGCGGGGACTGCCGCAAAAATTGCAAGTCTTAACTTAACAGGTAACAAATGAATATGCCGCCTGGCGGGAACTGGAGCTCAGTATATTCATAGATTATGCATTTTCAACTTAATTTGGAGTTAAATATGCACTCCCATTCTCTAGCTTTTTTATGTTTTTGTTACCACTGGACCTAATCACAATTAAACGGGTTAAGACTGTAATGAAAATAGCCTAGGCCTATTGTAGTAGCCTAAAAGATTTCTTCATAGGGGTACAAAACCAAAATAAATGTGTGGAAATCTTTTCAAATAGCCTACGATATACGTGAAAATATTTGCTGACTTAACATATAGTGTTGATGAAATTTGCTAAACAAAACAAACAAAAACAAACAAACAAGCAAATTGATTGACGTCTAACAATGAAAAATTTACAAAAGCCTATTAGAAGTTAAAAAAAACTATTTATGCATGTATTGTGTAAGTTTTGTTACACATGCTTCTTGAGTAGAGTAAATTTGTTTTTACTTCAGATTATTGATAAAGACTATAAAAATGTCTTAAAAATAAAACAAATGTAAATGTAAGTGAGCAGACCTAAAGGCAGTCATTAACCACTTCTGCTGTCCAATGTGGAAAGAAGACACAAGGACATGAGGCTGTGCATTAGTTTGGTTGGGACCTTCTTTAAATTGCTGTCAAGCTATAATGATGCTTGTCTTGATAAAGTGCCGTCTGCTCTTCAAGTTTACAACATCTTAGCCACATAACTGTTTAAATAAAACATAATTGAGGCCATAATGAAGTAATTACGGTAAAACTGTAAAACTAGGCTAATTTAAACAGATCTGGGTGTGTGTAAAGTATAAAAGGCTCTTCTGGAAGTCATGCAGCTCAGGGAGATTGCCTCACTGTCAATTCTGTAAAACCAATATTGTAGTAGCCTAAAAATGTTCATGGAATTTAAAATTGTGAAATTTTTGTCTCAATCTAAGAGTGGTCAATAACAAAAATAAATGTCTCTATATTTTTGGTGCTAATAATCAAACAATCATTCAGCAATCCAGACAGAACTGCATAGTCCAAAGTGCACATGTGAATGGATTGGTTTATGTTTCTATATTGCACAAATGTGAATAGATTATAAAATTAATTTCACTAGTGCAAAATTATCCTTTTATAGCCTACCCTTGTTTGGAAGTTGCTTTTGTATTTAATTGGCTAATTTGGGAGTCTTTTCAACCATTCCTATTATAAGATGATAGTCAAAATAGACCAAAAAAAAAAAAAAAAAACCCCAAAAAAACCCCACAACTGTGATATTTCGATGTACAAGCCTACAATCATACAATCTCCTACATCTACCTCAGTCAATTTCAGACCCTGTAGTGTTTTTGTCTATATGTGAGAGTATAGACGAGATGCTCCACTTGTGCAGCTTGTCCCTAAATTGGCCTTCTAATCCTGTTTTATGTGTGTGACTGACAGCACGGCACTCCGGCTCCTCTGATGTCTCCAAGCTGACGGTGTGAATCAAGAGCTTGGCCCTTCTCCCCGCGCCGACCCTTGACCTCGGCCTGTCATGCTGCTGACCCTGGCTAAAGCACTGCGTTGGGACGATCCAGTGATGTGTCTGGTGCGGGGCTGTGGGCAGCTGAAATCTTGAATCCTTCCGAATTCTCTGCCGTCTCTGTTAATGTCATTTAGCGACACTTCAAATGCACCACAACTGGAAAGGTCAACGCGATAAATTATTCATCACACGGAGAAAATTTCTTCATAAAAAGGTGCATTGTTCTCAAATGCCTAACGTTTTGTTTTTTGTCATTCTCACTCCCTAATTCATTTGTTCTGTCAACTCTCTTTTCGCCTGATCTGGGCTGCTTTTTTTTACTTGATACATAAAGCCACGCCTCAGTGAGCTACTCGTGGATACAAAAATTCTTAAAAGCGGTGAGAGAAAGAGCGAGGCTGTCTGCTGCCTACCTCCCCTACCCCCCATCCCTTTTCTCCTTACAAAAAAAGGGACAAAAAACGCACCAATCAACTCCCAGACTGTACAAAGCCTGGCCTATCGTTGCTAAGAGACAGATGCAGAGTAACCTCCACCAGAGACCTGACCATGACCCTGCCTCCTCCCTCCTCCTTTCTCCCAATTACCAGCGCAAATTAAAGCCCACCTCAACCACCTTAAAGCTCCACTAACCAGGCACAAGGAAACTGCTCTCCCCAAAATACACCTCACCAATTCATTCCAACTTACAATTCTGTGTTTATTTTTCTGTGCAGGATGGTGGAGAAAGGGCGGAGCTTGTGATGCGAGGAAGAGGAAGGGAGGAGGGACTGCTGCCTGTCAGGCGAATGAGAGGATGAAGGTTTGACAGAGAGGTGGCGAAGAGTTCAGTTTATGCGGGGCCTGTCGATTAGTGCGTTTGCGGCTGACAGGTGGAATCCCAGGGGCGCGCCTGTCACCGCTCCTGCCAGGCCCGGGCTCCACGAGAGACACACCCAGGGGCGGGGCGTATACCGGCGTAAAGGTACCCGATTGGTTCCCCCCGACAACAAAAACCCGCCTCCCTGAGCAC